GCCTTACATTTTCACATTTACTGCTCTGATTCTTGCTGTTGCTTCTACTTCTTCTTCTTCATTTTCTTTGGGTTTCAAAATTTATGCAGAGCTGCCTTTGTCCAGCGTCTTAGACGCTGATTAGGCGTGAAGTCGGCATTTGAATACGATTTTTGGGGTTTTTGTCTTAGCTGACAGCATTGCAATTTATTCTGGCGGCAAAATTAACAGTACCAAGGCCAGGTGTACGATCAAATGTTTGAATTTGTCACGAAAAAAATGAAACTGAAATACACTAGTATATGCTTATTTTGATATTTGTTGGATTTTTTATCTGGTAAACAGTTTTAAGGAACCTCTCTCAAAACTTTGAAATAATTAATTAAAAAATAGTATTTGGCTTTATTTAAAGTACTTTAAGCTATGTAGGATGAAATAGTAAATGGAATATTTTAATATTTAATTCAGTTATAAAAATATTCCAGAAAGTATTACACCAAATTTAACATGTTGAGGAACTTTTTCTAAGGTATGAATATTCTTGGATAACATAAATCTTCCATTGAAAATAAATGTTTATAATTTTGGTGCATTCTTTTTTTAAATAATAAGGAACTTTTCTTAAGATATGAATATTCCCATAAATCTTCTATGGGAGTAACGAAAATCTCGTTTAATTTCAATTTATTGTAAAACACACTTCTCAAATATCTTTTTTATATATTTGCGTAGCCCGGAATGCTAATTTTTTTTTCTCTTCTTAGAAAACATACTCAAAAGGTCAAGATCGGCTAATTGAGGTTATGTCTACCCCAGATACAGTTCCTGGCAACACGTAACGCCCTATTATGACTGCGCGAACAAAAAACAAAGCAAATTTTTTTACCCCACAAAAAAAACACACTTAAAAATTGCAAACATGTTTTGCATGGAAAAACCGATCATCAAATATTCACATAATCAAACAAAATTGGTACGAAAATCACAGAAAATGCATTTAAGATCTGCGAAGATCTTGAGTACAACCACCAGAGGTAAATAAGTCCAGTTCGTGTCCAGCTGCGTCTGCGCGCGTTACCTGAGATCCACAGACACCCTACGCGCTGGTCCGGGACACAGATCCATTGTTGCTGGACCAAGTAGAGCACGCATATGTAGGGCGCCTGGGCATGTGCGAAAATCTACCCCATAATCCTTATGAAAATCCCAAAATTAAAGTTTCCGAACGAACAAAGGCAGCGAAATTCAAATGATTCGCAGTTTTCTTTATTTGCGTATCGAAATGTTTGCCTAAAGGTACGAATATGCATAAATCTTAATTGCAAAAAAAGAACAAAAGGCAAGGAAATGAGAAATATATCAAAGTATTTTCCTGAATTTCACACATATATAAACTGTAGTTCCAATAAGTTGACAAGCATGAACATGAACTAGTTCCGTTAGCAACTAATTAATTTAGTTAGCAACTGACAGTCGGAAATGTCATGTAGCCTAAGTATTATCTAATAATTGGTGTCATAAAAGTTAGTTAAAGCCCATTGAATGTCTGTCAAACACGTGACATTTCCGTATTAACTCTCGACATAGCCAATAAACAAAAAGTAAAACTTGAACCATAATGCGATATATGAAATGGAAACTTCAATTTCTGGTGCGCATTGCGTGATTTAATGCGCCTCCCATTGTTTTGATGGCATGCCAAATGGTTTACGCTTTATGTACATATATATGACATTTTACCTGTCAGCGCCCTTTTCAGCATAATGACAGGTTCGTATTTCCACCTATTGTTCAGGTGTGCGTGTTTGTGTGGGAGGCGGGGGGCGTGTCCGACAAGCGGCGCCACTCGCAAGTGAAAAATAATCACAAATTTACAGCTCGTCTGCAGCTTAAATCGTAAATAATTCACATATGATTGCTTTAATAAATAGTTACATATTTATAGAGTTCAGTTGAGGTCTTTTAAGTTAGATTGAACATATAGACATCGATTTAATATATAACTAATATATATCTTATGATATTATAGACTTCTGTCCCAATATATCAGAACCGAATAAAGACTGTGTATATCTAGAGAAATTGCCTGAAAACATCTGGCGAAATATCTGACTAAGATTTCTACATGATCATTATTTACGATCTGGAAAACTATAAGAGCTAGAGACCTACAATTTTGGAATATTGTATATTATTTTATGCCATGCGGCAAACAACTTTATTATATATTTCCGATATCTACTCTCACTTTCAAAATATTCATAAAAATCGATTTTGAGACATGGTTTTTTAAGCATAGCTCGAGGATTATAAGAGCTAGATACACCAAACTTGATGCGTAGTTTCTCTATAAGTATAAACACTTTAAGAATCTTTCAGTTTGTGCATACCTTCTACCATTTCCCTTAAAATATTACAAAAAAAACTCATTATTAGTGCTAAAGCCTGCGATTTTATATATATGTATATACACACTTTTCTTTGCCTTATTTAATCCCTGATAACTTCATAGGGAGCAAAATTTAATTAAGTATGCATTAAAATAACTTTTTATATTTGTGTTAGTATTGTCTTACTTTATTTCATCATAACTTAATTAAAGTCTAATTCATTTGTAGAACTTGTCATGCTTCAAACTTTCACTTTTCAATTCTGCGCTGCGCAGTTGTCGTAGTTGTTGAAGAACTTGTCTAACCAAGTAGGTAGCTCTGTCAGCAGCTCCATAATCAACAAGCGATCGTTTGGTGGTTTCAACAAGACAACAAAAACAACTCTTAGTTTGGGCTAGTGTGGTGCGAGTGTGTGCTCAACTGGCTGATATGTCTGTAAATGTTATGCTCGATCGAGGATCGGCAACACAAATCACCGATCGCTGGCAGATCGCGTAGACGCGCAGCCAAGGCACAACAGTGGCAAATATGTTGAGAGGGGGGAGGTGGTGTTCGGGTTGGGGTTTTGAGCATGCAAAGTGAGTTACATACAAGTTGTACGATCAGTTGGCGCAGACACAGTTACAGATACGGCAAATCCAGCAGACAGATACAGATACAAAATACAGTCGACAGATAAAGATGCGATAAATGCTGCGCAAAAGCCAAGCTGCATCGATAAGTGTGGAAAGACAGACAGAGAGAGAGAGAGAGAGCGACAGAGAGAACGAGAGAGACACAGCTAGATTGTGGCGTTCATGTGCGAAAATGTGGGGCAGAGTGCTGGAGGCACTTGACAGGCTTGAAATGAAGAAATAATTCCATTGAGCTGGCAAGTATGCGGGGAATCTCAAGCGAGACGAAATTAGACAAGCGACGTGATTTACGGGTACCCTTAAATCACATGACAGCACACACACTTACACACACACTGCCACACACAACAATAACGCAACGACACATATTGAAAATCGAAGTGAAAACTCGCCAGAAGAAAATGCTTTGTCGAACTGAAAGTCTGCGAAGCACATGTGCAACTGCCAGACATTGATAATGTTAATGAACACGATCGTGATCATGATTATAATAATCATGAGGATGATCTGCTCTGTCGCTTCGTTGACAACAGAATCGATCGATGCTTCCGCTGCACAGCGCCAACTTTGCTGATTTATGACGCGAATTCATTCTTACCACAAGTTCGAAGTTTTATTTGCCGACTCACATATCAGAATCAGAAATTAAATGAAAATAAAAATAAAAGCACAAACATGAAGGCAGCATATAAAGATCAAAGCACATCAAATTCAAAATGGACAGCAACAGCTTTTTTTATTGATATTTGTTTTCTATCCATGTGGTAATTTAATATGCTTGTGCTTGGCGTCCAATCATTGATCATTCTGGGCATTTCCAGCGATAAACGTGTATTTGTTTTTTACCCAAACATAACAATCATCCAGCTTCCGCATCGAAAACATCGTATTGCCTTTTCCTATGATCAACAAATAGTAATAGTAATAAAAGAGCGCTAGAGCTTACAACAACACAAATCTTTCACACCTGTTTGCGTTTTGTTATTAACACGTTGGCGCTAGACTAAATGTCTTGTTATGAAAAACTATACAATCCCCAGCCAATGCTCTTTCCCATCAACCAACAGGCCAAGCTTGGTCAAATCTGAACATTATAATTAAAGTTAAAATACTAAAGTAAATATATTTAAATTTTGTTTTAATTTTAATTAATTTTTCTTTTATTTATAATATTTTGGAATTTCAAATTTTGAAAATTCCAGCTTGACAGCAGTTCTTAATTTGAGTACAGAATTAAGTCAAATTTTGGCCTCTAAACTTTCTATGTCTTATAGCGCACACTCTATCCCAACTAGCCCACAGTCAAACTATGCCAAAACTGTATAAAATTTCCATATGAAATACACTGAATTTGTTTTTTGGCTGACTTCTAAATTTGTATAATTTGTGTAAATGAAATTTGCTTATAACTCTTGGAAATGAAATATAATTTACATGGCGCTAATCAATGTCTTTGTTAAATACATTTTCTAGCTGATTTGCATTAAAGTAAATCGAAATTCTGGCAACCAGTTTGTAACTTGGCGGAAACTCTTGGCATATAATTAACTGCATGATATCAGAATCGCATATTTCCAGTTACATAAGCCTATGCGATAATATTTTATTAAAAAATATATTTTATGCGTACTGACAGCCTCAAAATACCCGCAAAAAAGTCCCCAAAAAAATATAAACATATATCTCCCACGAGAAGGCATCAAAATCTATATTTTGAAGTAATTTGCATAAACTGAAAAAAAATCGCATATAAAGTATCAGCTCATTGACTTTTTGGGAGCTGTCTTGGGGCAAATAAAAAAATAGGTTCGGAACCCGTTTTTTATAGACTCATCTATTTCGTCACAAAGCCTGTCAAAACTAAAGTCACAAAGAAAACAGAAAAAAATTTGCGGTTAGCAAAGATTAAGTGGCCGGCCAAATTGTGTTTTTGTTTTTGAGCTGAGTAAAAAACGAGTTTCTGTCTTCTTTCGATTTTTGTGTAAACATATGGGGGGAATTCTGCTTAGATTGTTCTTGAATTTCATTAATATCGAGGCGATAAACGATAGAAACGCTGCCTATAAAAGCCAATTCTTGGCCAACAGACGCACACAGTTCGATTTCTCAACTTGCCAAAAACACAAGCAAAAAACAATAATAAATTAGTTCAGAATGCGTGCCGCAATCTTATTCGCCGTAATTCTGGGTGTCCTGCTATCCCTGGCCTATGCCCAGGAGCAGGCTGAGGAGCAGGTGCGCACCAAGCGTCAGTTTGGTGGCTTTGGAGGACCCTTTGGCGGCGGTTTTGGCGGACCCTACGGCGGCGGTTTTGGCGGACCCTATGGCGGCTATGGTGGCGGCTATGGTGGCGGCTTTGGTGGCGGCTATGGACATCATCATCGCGGCGGTTATGGTGGCTACGGCGGCGGCTTTGGACGTCCTGGCTTTGGTTTCTACGGTTAAAATGTGTAATAAATAAGACTGAAAGTAACTGAAAGTGTTTTTCATTCCATTTGCTTTCGGCCCCCACACAAAATATACTGCTAATTAGATTAGTGAGTTTCCGAATTGGAGTTCTTAAAAGTGAAATTCCACATATGGAGAGCAGAACTTGACCTCGCCCATGGCAATGTGTTGACCCGGTTTAGGTTGTGCGTGCCTGTTGCCGCGACGCCGTCTGCTTGGGATATGTGTGTTTAAAAATAAATAACAGCAAATCTCCATTTATTTATTAATCTTTGCCTGCAGTCACCCCAACCCACCGCTGTCCATGGCCAGATACCTACTAATTAGTTGATTTTTGTGTGTGCCTGTGCCTGTGACGGTGCCTGTGCCGTCTGTTTGTTTCTGTTCCAGAGCTGTCACGAGTTGGCGGCTGCTTCTACTTTTGGTTTTTGAAGACACGTCAGACCATCATCCAGCGACGCATCACAGAGTGTTTGGGGTGTGTGTGTGTGTGTGTGGGTGTGCCTATGTCTTGCTGCAATTATCACGTACGATTGCCATAATTATTATCATTTGAATTTTTATTAGATGACCTTTGTGTGCCAACTCTCTCTCCCGCTCTCTTTTTCTTTCCCTCTGTCACCTTTGTTTGTTGTTTTTTCTTGCTGCTCTGCCAGCAACTGCGCGTTGTTTCCCCCGTTAAACAAAATACGTATTTAAATTAATTTGTTTGTTTCTTCAAGTAAACAGCGCGTTCCGCATAAATTACCTTTGAGGTGGACTCATGTGACCCACACATACGTATACTTTATATACGTATGCCTATTCTTATAACCTAAACCTATCCATATCTATAAATTATTCACACATGTATAAAGACATACATATCACAAAAGTCTTTAGCTTTTCATATAACCTAGCTCTATTTATATACACTCTACATTCAAGAAAACTTTTTAAGCATGAGAAGAGCTTTAAGTATATTAAAGCTTAAAGCTCATAAAATGCGCTCATATATACCAAGCTACCTTTAAACTAACTTAAAATTAATTAAAAATTTGTCACTTTCGAATAATAAGCATGTGATTAGCTCCTCTATAGACTAAATACCAAGTTTTCACAGCATAGCCTCGCAGCTGACAGTCTGGTAAACACAAATAGACACAGTCTGACAATTAAATTTGCGGCATATGCGTTAAGCACGCAATAAAACCCGAACTCACAAATTGAGCCAAATATCTGCTGATTAGATTAATGATGTATTAATCCCGCTAATAAACATAAAAATCAACGCAAATAAAATTCTCCGCTTCCCCTCTTCTGGAAGCGAATAGCCGCAACCCAAACCAAGGCACGCATTTTAATTTTGCGCCAATTTCAGGCAGTCTCTGTGCTATATGTCAGATGGTTATCCCTGTGGGGCATATGGGTGCTCGCATTCGTATTCGTATTCGTATTCATATTCGTGGCTTGTTGTGGCAACAGTTCCGCCCCCTGGCTTGACTGTTTCGGGCTATTGTTTAATTGTCAATAGACATCGGCTTCTATCAATATCATAAAAGCTAATATTTTGCGGTTGGCTGGACGAGGCGAGCCGCCGACAAACTGACTTGTGGGCATAAATAACCGCAAAACATCCCACCTACCCCCGCTTGCGCATTAATCCCACCGGATATGCTCAATCAAAGCTCAAAGTGTGCGTGCTGCTGGTGTGAGGTGTGACCAGGACGAGGGTTCGACTCGAACCTGTCGAGTTTCTTGCCCAACGGGGGTGGCTTGTTGTCATTGAAAATCGTCGTATTTCATTCATCATTTTGCGCCTTTTCAACGCCAGCAACAACAACCCCCACAGTTAGTTAAAGGTAGGTTGTCCAGGACCTCGAGCTGAACTCGAACTCGAACCCGAACCCGAACCCGAGCCCAGGACCAGGCCCGGGCCCGGAGCCACAAACTGACTTTCGTGCCGGGCATGTTTTGATATTAAAATTGCGTAATTATAATTAACCACATGTGGGTTTGAGGCAGAGTTAGAGTCGGAGCTAGAGATGGGGTTCAACGTGTCCACCGACTGCTTCCGCTCGTCTTTCGCTCATTTGCGGCGCTTTTGTGACGAGGTGTGTTGCCGGAAGGAAGCGAATCGGTTATGTTTTGCCACACAGGACACGCAGGACACGTGCGCCGTGCGGGCACATGGTAACCGATATGCGGATTGTCTTCGCCCCAGGGGCATAATCCATAATTTAGCATACTGTCAGCCAATTGATATTGCCTTGCCTTCAGCCGATTGTATCTATCTCTCTGTGTGTCACATGATTAAGCCCCAAATTTTAAATTTAATTAGTGCACGATTTTACAGTTTACACTTTCGTGTGTGTGTGTGTGTCTGTGGAACACGTGTTACATTGTGGCTTCCTTTTTTCGTGGTTTCATAAAAAGATATGAGCAAAGTGTTGAATGGGAAAAGGAATGCATGAAAACTTATGTATATACGTGCATATCTTTAATAAATATTTTATATATATTTTGTGTCAAAGGACGAATTAAAATGAATACCAAATAAAATTTAATTAAATGCTGATGGAAATTCGGCTCATATGGAAAAAAATCGGATGAAGAGAGAAAATAAAGGGATTGGAATATTCAAATCACGACTGAAAACTGATTTTAAACCGATCGAGTTTTAGATTTGCAGAGAACTCCTAGATATGTACCATATTCTGTCTCGCAGCGCTGTGTTCTTATTTTTTTATTATTTAATATAAACCGAAATCTAATTCAAAGCAATTGCCCAAAAAATAGCTGAAACGAAACCCAAACTGTTCCAAATTTTATTGCAAAAAATGTTTGACTGAATATAAATAGTTATTGAGGCTCAGCCTTAAAATAGAAATAATTTGGAGAACCAAACTATGGGGCTTACCTTACTCTTGATAGATGCCAATTTTAGGTGTAGATCAAATTCAAAATATGTACGACACTAATTATATGTGTTAAAAAAGTTAAATCGTTTCATTAACATTTTTAATTCATATGATCAACACTTTCTTATATGTACCGAACCTAATAACCTATAACCAAACGAATTAGATAAAAATCAGTAAAAAAAAAAAAACTATATATTGTAAACAAACCTGAAAATCGTTTTATCGCGAACCGCTTTGAGCTTGGAATATTATAATTATTATATAACACGAAGCTAGTTTAACCGAACAAACTGAATAAAAATCTGTTAAAACTGGCCATGCTTTTCCATAAAATAGTTAAGTTTCGCACAAATAAAACATGTACATAAATGATACTCAATCAATTCTTTAAATAAGCGCATATTTTACTGATAAAACTTAAAATAATCATAGAATTATTTTAAAATTTTATTTCTATATTTAAAAAACATTTTTTTAAAATTTTCTGCAGCTTTATGAAAGATACTTTTACTTTTTGCTGAAAAGAAAAAAAACAAACTAGCCCAGCTCCTAACTCATGCCCATAGCTATTAGACATCTAACCCACAGACCTCTAATTGTAATTAAGCATGGGAATCAAACTAGAAGAGAAGAGAGAGAGAGAGAGAGACAGAGAGAGAGGGAGAGAGGAAGAAGAAACTAAATCTGCGGCCAATAAAATGAGTATGAAAACGAATGTGTGGGTCAGGAGTAGGAGTCGTATAAGAAATTCCAGGCGTGCACACATGAGCATAGTTCGTGTGGAAGCTGGATGAGGATGAGGGCGGGGGCTGGCACACCGGGCAAACGTAGATTACAAACGTGTTGCCATTAGTTAACTTCAGCTTTGATTGATTTCAATTAATCTTGGACGCGTGTAATTAATCATTGAACACTTTAATATGGTTAACAACTCTTGACCAAGCAACGGTTAAAAAGGTTCAACGAGCCGCAGCAGACTTCTCAGCCCAGACGCGACGGTACCAAACGGGGCCACAAGACCCAAACTGACAAACTGACAAAGTGACGTACAAGCAGGGGCACAGGGGCAGAGGGGCAGACTGGAGAAACTGGGCAGCGGGAGCTGAAGCTGAAGCTGAAGCTGTGTCTGTGGTTACCTTGGCAGCCGCCATGTGCAGTGTCTAAGAAAAATGACCAAGTTATGGAAAATGCGTTGGAGTAACGAGCCCCAAAAGATTTTCATATGTGTGCCGGCCAAGAGGCAACAGATCTGTGGCCGCAGCCCCAGCACCCGACTAATTGTAGTTACACTTCGCGCTAAGAAAACGTTGGAAAACGGCCCGCGATTGATGGCTATCAATGCCGATGACTTATGGTCCATGTCCATGTCCATGTAAATCCATCTATGTGGCACATTGTTGTTGTTCGTAGTTGTTGTTCTTCGTTGTTGTTGTTGTACGTTACCCAACTGCAGCCGCCGGGCCAGACGGGCATTTTCCTGGCCGACAAATGCACATTGATTTTCCCATGCCTCGCAGACTCAACAAATAGCCAACGGGCAAGGAAATCATTGTGCGATTATATTTCCACTCTCAGCATTTGCTATGCATTTGTGCTTGCGCCCGATTTGTGGCTAAACGGAGATGCGAAAGGTGGGGCCCAGTGTGTGGTTAACTTAATCCGACTTGATGGTAACTAAGAAAGATTCGAGATTTGTGTGCGGGTGTGTGCGTGTGTGTGTGCGGATGTGTGCGAGTGTGTGTGCCTAAGTGACTGTAATTGGACTTAATATATGAACTAAAAGAAATATTTTCGAATTAATAGTCCTGAGTCCTTTGCTAAACTATCCTCTGATGATATTTAAATGCAAAACGACTTTTGACATTGAATTTTCAGTGAAAGCTTTCGTAGAAAAATAATTCGTTTAATTTTATTTAATTTATTTAGCACTAAGAAGTCTACAAGTTGATCCTTTAATATTATTTGCAACCAAAGTCACATTGAGAACTCTCCTGAGCGGACAGTCGGCGAATAAAGAGGGAATGAGTATGGCCTGGTTCATAATGGTTTGAGAGAAAATATCTGCGCAGGTGAGTGTCCACATAATAGGAGTGT